TGCTGTGCCTGCCACGAAATCTGCACATGGAGGTTCACAAAGTGCTGCACCTGCCACGAAATCTGCACATGGAGGTTCACAAAGTGCTGCGCCTGCCACGAAATCTGCACATGGAGGTCTAGTGTATGATGAGTGGTGTATGATGAGTGGTGTCTAATGAGTGGTGTATGATGAGTGGTGTATGATGAGTGGTGTCTAATGAGTGGTGTATGATGAGTAGTGTATGATGAGTGGTGTATGATGAGTGGTGTATGAACAGTGGTGTCTGATGAGTGGTGTATGATGAGTGGTGTACGATGAGTATGATGAGTGGTGTATTGATGAGTGGTGTAGGATGAGTGCTGTATGAACAGTTCTTGAATGTCCGTAACACGGAAGTTTCGTACACTAAACTTCCTTTGATAAGATGTAATAAGTTTTCCATATACATGGATGGTCTGGGGATGGAAAGGGTGTTCCAACCTGTGACACGTAATCAAGGAGCACTCTTCTCCCCATTCCTCAAACAAACAATCAACATACCAGCTTCTCTCTGGCTTTGTACGGGTTGCACTAATAATATATTGGGCTCTAAGTCCCGCTTTGTCTTGTAAGTGATCCAGTTGGCCGCTGTGGTTTGCTGTGTACGTGTATTACTCTTGCATTGTCATGGATACAGGTAGATAGATAAATAGATAATGATAGACTTACTTATAGACTGACGTACTGTATACTATGTTCAAATCTGTGCCTTCAACAGTCATACCCACACGTCTAATGTAGACTCTTGAGGACCATAAACCTCCCCTTTGAAGAGGATGTTCAATTCAAGTGGGGTGGTGTATGGTCCTCAAGAGTCTACATTATCTATGCCGTAGATGTCCACATGGACCCCCCTGGCACCACCACCCCACCCCACCCGCCGCTCTGACCAGCCAAGCGTCGGGCCTCGGCGCTTCCGAAGTCCCGCGCGCGGCGGCCGAACCTCGGCCCCACGGTGTCCCAAACAGGACCAGTGGGACGACCGGTGGGACTGCCGATGAGGCCAGGGGTCGTGTCAGGGGGGTCTTTGGCATAAGCATGGCATGACATGGAGTGTTTGGAATATTTTGGGATGGGTGGTGGGTACCCTGGCACCCGGGCGTTGGATGGCGTTGGCACCCTGGCGGGGTTTGTGTCGTTTAAAAGCCACGTCCGAAAAGGTTCGTCAGGGATTTCCACCGCTTTCGACCGCAGCTCCGAGTCAACAACAGCACCAAGACTTGCGACAACATATTCCCTATAGGGCTCCTGGCCCACCTCCTGAGAAGGTGGTTGGGGTGGGTGCCAGGCTTGGTCGAAGTACCTTCTGAGAATGTGGGCCCGGAAACATAGGGATTCATGTGTTCAATGAACTGTGCTGACTGGAAGACTGGGCTGTTGATTGCATCATAAGTAAGTGAAACAATATTAACATGGAGTTCCCTTGCTTTGTCAAGGTTCAATATTGTTCAATGGGGTCTGCTCATGTCTGCTGGGCGTTTTTCTTTGACATTCTTGGACCATTTCTATAGCCACCCGAACCTTCCAATCGTGTCACGGTTTCGCCTGTTACCTCCTTCAAGGCAAAACTGTTGTGTTGGAACATGCTGGTCGCACACACACACAAACACAAACATCGGTGCACAATGATCACAAAGCTGAAGCTGAGCCCAACAATTCACAACATTATGATCATTATGATAGTATATTATGGTTTTTGAGTGAAGCGAATGGAAAACCCCCAACCCTGTGCTTCTTTGGGCCAAGCCACAGTTCCAAGTGCCCTACACGGAGGAAGGATCTTGCCACTCGACAGGTCATCGCACACGGCTCGAAGAGGGTCTCGCCCACCCATTCTCGAAGGGCAGTATCTGAGGTTGACCTTGGGCACCATCTCCAACCTTCTTCGATCGCTCAGGAGCATCACAAACAAACCAATGTTTGATGATTTTCTGGACACTGGAGGTGGGTCGACCTTGCCCCAGCTGTGTCATTCTGGTCACATCCTCCCATCCTGACCCAGTCGCATGACCACGCACAGCGCCCACGTGCTGGGCACCCCCAAGTGGTACATGGCCTCAGACGCCAAGAACTCCCGGAGCGAGGACCGCAGCACCGCACGGCCATCGGCACCGCCACAAAAGGGGGTGCAGCCGGCACCTGGAAACGTGGTCAGGGTGGTAAGAGGCGCGGTATTCGAGTAGAAACGCCTGTTTCGCGATGTCAACTTGAAAACATGTTGGGATTCATCACCGCTTCATCACCTCATGATATCCAATATATCTCAAGCATCCATTGAATATTGAGATTTGTTAGTCAATGTAACTCTATGCCACAGGTGCCTGTAGTTGCGCAACGGCGGCCGTGCAAAAGCCGTTTACAATTCGTTGACCAGCTGGGGTTCAACATCTGAGGACTCTTGTGATCGAGAATTGACAGGATCAAGCCTTCAAGCCCGCACCGATTTGGCAAACAGTGGCCGGACCCGGAAGCCTTTCAACTGGAGCTCCCACCGATCATCGTGCAGCAGGACTTCGCCAACAGAGATGGCGCGCCCATCTCCGTACCTCCGACAGGTGCCAGTGGCGACCCAGGGGTCCTGCAGTGGGACTCAGCCCTCTGCAAAACACACATAACATATATTATATAACTTCTAACAATGAATAACAATGAGCATTTCACGACGGGGAAAGTCTTGCCTTTTCGCAGGCGCGGCAAGGGAGTTCTGGATGACTATGGCAACAGCGCAGGTGCCCGAACCAAGTTTCTTAAACCAAGTTTCTTACAACTCGAAAACCCTTCCACGGACAGTCAAGGTCTGCCATGCTCCCTCTGCTTGCCCGCCCTGCAGGACCATACCCTTGACATCCCTTAGACGACATGGGCGAAGAAGACAGCTCGGCACATCCAACCAGCTCGGCGCTATTAGCTAGGCACCATAGGCAGGCCAGCAGCAATTCAGAAGCAAAGCCGCCCCTGCTTGACATATAAGACAATCTTGCTTTGGATATCTTTGATGATCTTTGGATGTTAGGCACTCAAACGCCGCACATCTGCATCATACTCAGCAAATCGCGGCATCTCAAACATTTTAACAGGCTGAAGGCTCCGAGCGGAACGATTTTGATTTTTTCTTGGTAGTTTTTTTATACCACCTACGTAGCAGCCCTTCAGGTTCAGGAAGTGGGGATTGGAAGCGAAGTGTAGGTGGCTTGTACATATTTGGAGAAATCGGGTGAAATCATGTGAATCCAGGTTCTTGAGGTTTGATTGGAGGGAAAGCTGGTAGCTGGGCGATATTGGACCAGGAAAAGTGGATAGTAGTGGGATGAAGGCTTCAATGCGCTGTGCTCACGCGCTCAGCCCTGAAAGGGTTGAAAGCCAAGCCATAGAAACCTGGTTCCCCTTCTATGCAAGGCTGTCGGTAATTTTTGAACAACATGGACATCCTGCGACACGAACAAACTCACACCGAAATGCCCCAGCCAAATGTCCTGCAGGACCTTCCGTGATTCACCATCCAGGATCATCGACTGCATCCACTCTTCTCTGGGTGGACCTCTTCCTGGTCACATGGTGAACCCAGTTCCTGGAAGATGACAGGCCCGGTTCTCGAACCTACGAGGCCAGTCCTTCCAAGTGGATGGGTCATCTAGGTGTGAGCGACCTACGTTGACCGACGCCGCGCGGGCGCTCGCGCTGCGGTGTCGAGTCAGGACGTCATCGCTCAAGAGGGCCCCGAACGCATACGATCAGGTGGAGTGGTTGAAAAGGGGTCACTGTAGGCTGTAGGTGCATCTTCCATCATATTCCCATTTCAATGTTTCATACACAATGATTGATATTCCAATTCCACTGATTGGTAAATGTGTTCATCAGTTGAGTTGGTAAATATATGTAAATATTCTATATAATGATGTTCTTTCCAATTCCAATGACTGAGACCTATATATATGGTCCAACCCGAAAGCGTATGGGATTGAACATCGTTGACTGATGCTTTACTCTCCCAGGCCCGTCTGCCAAGGTGCATGTTCCCAGTACCTCACATCGGCTGCAACGGCATCGGCTGGCGAGCAAACCACGGGAGCTAGGCCAGCTAGGGGTGCTAGGACCACAACGCAAGCACACAAATATGCTCTCCCTGCAACTAAACAAACTGGACACCCTCCTGTGTAATGGAACAAAATGCTCCTCCTCTCAGGGCCATGCCACATATCACCATGTCCCAAACACGACTAATGGGACTGCCAGTCCGGACTGCCTTCAAAACGGCCAGAAATGGTGCCAAAGGGGTCTTTCTGGCGGCAGTCCGGACTGGCAGTCCCATGGGCCGTGTCTGGGTGTTACTTTGGAGTGCATCACATACCCCCCAAACACTCCAGCGGCTGCAGGGACTACTTGCACACCGACCGCATGGGCCCCGAACGGGCGACCGACATCGGACGACCGTGGGGGTGAAGCGCAAACGCACCAGGTTGGCCCGTTCGGGATCCACATACTCTCTGAGGTACGGTGATTGGAAACACTGTGATGTAGGTGCCAGGAGGGTCCAAGTGCCTTAAGGTACTTGGGATGAACATGAAACGATGTGCGCACAGCACGCATCACCTATGAGATGTTCCTCGATGATCGAGGCTCGATCTCACAAAATCACACTGATGATTCAAACCCGAGCACTTAAAGACATCCCAGCCACAGGTGAAATCCTCTGAAAGATGTAAAACATACACAAACTGCAAAGGCAAAGGTGGCTATAGGTCAGGTGACAGATGGTGCACTAAGGTGCGTTCGCCACCACTTGAACCCCCCATCACCCCCCATGAACCACTCAGTTTGGAGTGGGACCCAGACCGTGAAACCCCTGACCTACCCTGCTGGATGGGGATCTCCGATGAAACTCCGGATGTTCGGCAGCGCCCTGCAGCGTTGCAGCTGAGAAACTGATTTCATTGCCCGCCACTGAGAGGGTGTATGGAGTACACCAGCTCTTCATCTTGGGCAAAACTTCCACTTGCCCCGACATGAAGTGCAGGAACTCCTGCACAACAAGTCGCCAAAGGTAGTGAAGGGAAGAAAGGATGAGAGTCTCTGGTAGTGGTGAGGAACGGCCTGAGAACAGTTCGAATCTAGTCACCTAGTCGAAACCGTCTGCCCTTGCTTCTCAAGCATCCATCTCTTAATGTTGCATGCCAATCCTTCGTTGGGACCTATTTACCAATGCCACGGTTCATGTAGACTCTTGATTCATCACAGTTCATCACCCCCCTATGAGGACGTCCTCATGGTTTTTCCATCCGGGAGTCTGGGAGTCTGGGTTTATGAACCCAAGAGTTTTGGTCCAAGTACCGGTCACATGCCCCGTCACCGGTCGACTTTCGAACGGGTGATGTGGTCCACGACGTGTCCCCCCCCCCAAACAAATGCGGCATATAGGCTGACCGAGGTAGCCAAAAGACAATCCGAGGTGGTTCATTTGAGGAGGTGCATGTCGAATTCTTTGGTGGCTTTTTCAAAAAAGGATCCCATCGGATCCCAAGGGTACGGCCGAAGGATCCCAAAGGTACGGCCGCCGCTGGCCATTGGTGGGGAAGGATCACGAAGGCCTAGGGCCAGGGAGGACTAGGGCTCGTCGTTGGTTCCCTTGAGCAAGGTGTTTCAACGGTGTTCACCGGTGTTTCATCTTTCACCGTTTCATCCGATTCATGGTGTGGCGGGGAAAGCGTGTCTTTTTTTATCCAGGTGACCTGGTGACCTGCAGTGACCTTCACTCCTGGGACTCGCAGTCCGAAGATTGAAGGCCCAGCACTTGGGCCATGGATGGGCTGAACGCCACCAGCGAGGTATTCCTCAGAGGTCTGACTAGGTCGCTGCGGTGGCTGAAGGCTCTTCTTTAGGGGGGGAGGAACCTCATGTGCTCAGTACCAGGACCTGACTCAATGTAATACATACGTTGCGTCTATCCTATTACCTGTAACAGTGGATGATTATGGTCTGGCAGGCCTTGTTCAAACATTGTGATCATTGTTTACTGACTGTTAGAGGTAATGGGACAGACCCTCTATATATATATATATATACACAAAACTTACAGACCAACAAACAGCAACTCTTCTAAGAGGATGAACTTGGGATAAACTGGGAGCTGTTACGATCCCAACGGTGAAAAAAGTGGAAGGCGCCAAGGTTCATGGACAATGGACACTTGCCACGGTATATTCATACATGTTCCACTTCTTGAGGAAGGGGCAAACATCGAACAAACAAAAAAATACTTAAAACGGGAAAAGAGTTTGCATTATAGGTGAAGCATTCTCCACGACGTGCATGTTGGCTAGAGGGTACCCTCTCCCAATCTGTCTCATTTCATCACTTGGGGGAGGCACAACAAAAACACATGATCACACTATAGGAGTGTATCTGAAGATGGGAGGTTGACCCGGGTTCTTGTTGGGGTTGTCAAGAAGGTGTCTCTCCCATCCATCATGGAAGTGATTTAGCTGACAAAACGGCGCACTCTTGCATCGATTCTGACCCATCTTCCCAACGTCTTTCCGGTCATGGACCCTGGCCTTCGTGGCTGACACTGAGTCAGCTCCGCTGATGACTTGACCCAAGCCACAACAAGGGTGTGGGCTCCACTCGCACGAAGTGGCCTCCATTTCTCTCGGAACGACCGCGCGCGGGCGACATGGCGCGATGCACGCATGGAAGTGAAAGAGTGGGGAAAAACGAAGGCCTAAAGCTCCAGTCGTACCTTCTAACAAGGTGTTTGAGGTGGGTGCCAGGAGGGTCCAGTCATACCGAACCTGAGGAGCTACGACTGGAGCCCTAGGGGAAGAAAAAAGAAACAGGTGGTGGTTTGAGGGCAGGCTCCAAAAGGGTAAGACCGCCCAGTCAACGGCAGGACTTGACGTCCTAAAGGACTGGGTGACTGTCCTGCAGCGGAATCACATCCTCTGGCTCTGCAACTTGAGAGCACCAGGTTTACAGGGCAAGAGGGTGGATTATGGGCTAACATGCCACAACCATAGGTTGGAGGCCATCGCTCTTAGGTTGGAGGTCATCGCATTTGAGGGTGCAAAGCTTCTGGCTAGATGAAAAACATGTTTGCCGATGTGCACCGGTCACTCTCTTTGGACTGATGCAAATCCCTGCCCATCTGAGAATGCCAGCTTCCATCTCGGGGAACATATCAAAACCAAAGACATCGCCCAGGAAGGGATATTTTTTGAATTCACCGTTCGGTCACCCGGAAAGGAATTTCCTTTACTTCAGTGGTGCAAATGACTTCCAGGGTCCATGCATCACCATTGACTCCAGGGTCAGCGATAGAACGGACGTCAAACAGCAACACGCCTGAAGAAACCAAGCGCTTCTCGCGGTTGGGGCGATGCAGTTCCTGGACATGCACGGGTTTGTGGTGTTCAACCACGACCCCCCGCGCTCAGCTAGCAAGCGGCTCAAAAAAGGACCTGGATCCAGCTCCTTGGCTCCTCATTCTCCAAACCGCCCAGCGATTCAGTTCGGATGAGTAGTGCAAAGCCCCATCAAATCTGCATGTCCTTTAAAGTGAGCTAGCCAACAAAGGGACTGGCATTCTAGGAGCTCTAGACTAGAATGCCAAGACTGGAAACTCAGTGTGTGGAGCTGGAGGAGTTCGAACATGTCCACCCATAGCTGTAGTCAACAGCTGGCGCCCAGCTTAGCGGAGGACTCCCCGGTACGCCGTCCCGACCGTCACAGTCTTCGGACGTCCCGACGTCCCGGAAGCTCGGCGAAGCTCGGGGGTGGCTGGGGGGAGAGGTCGAAAACAGGCTAAATTGCCTTCGGGTCATCTGACTTTTCGAGTCATAGAAACCATCGATTTCATGTGATCGAGAAACAATACGAACAAAATAACAATGAAATGATGTGTTTGTCTTCGATATTTTCCAGCACAGCTGATATGTTTTTCAACTCATTGAATCCAGGTCCACGTCAGGGTGGTTGGTCCCTCCGTTTCTTCGGACCCCCAACATGAGACTCCTAGCCAATCAACTCATTCAATTCTTTCACCTCGTGTCCCCAACAGAATCTCCGCGCTCCAACCTGCTGCGGCTCTGCTTGCAAATCACCTAAGCGCTGAGATTCCCGTTTGGACAACAAGGTCCAAAGACCAAGGTTTGAGGTTTGCAGTTTATAGATGTTTATTGTCTATAGTCATCTATATAGTCCCTTAACCAACAGCCAAGAATGGGTGTGAGGCAATGTTGGACAGTTTTCGATCCATGTTTAGTTGGCTCATTTCAGGAGTGTCTTGGGGAAAACTCTGTGTCGCAGTGTGACACCCATGTCATGCGATGTTCAGTCAACCAGTACTGAGTGCAGGTCACATTCTCGTGGAAGGGAGCTTGCAGCTTCATATGGTTTATGATCAAGTTTGTTATATCATACTGGTCGACTTTTGAAAGCTTTGGCGGGGAACCTGGAAAAACGTTGACCAACTGAACATGGTCACCACTCCAAGGGCGCCAAGTGGCGTAGCCATGAGTGGTCTGCGCTGTTCCTGGGGAGTCGGGGAATCGGCAGGGCAGGGCAGCTTCGATCACCTCCTCCGGAACGTGCGAAGAAAACGTCGAACCACTGGAACTCTGTGCCGCCACCGAGCTGGTCATGTTTTTCTGAGGCTGCATTCAACAAGAAGAACTGCCAACTGGAAATGACCTTCCCTGAAACTCACCACTACAACCGAAGACTCTAATGCCCGGACCTACACTCTATCTACAAATGCCATTGTATGCCTACATTGAGCTCAGGTCAACCACTCCAGAATCGAACATCTTCCAGCCCCGTGAGTTGTGGGATATACACCCACCCATACACTCTCCCGAACGAGTCTCGAAAGGCGCTTGTTCTTTCGCCGACGATCCCGCGGACGAAGTCTGCCACGGTCTGCCCAGATTCATCCCAAACACCCGCATGGGACGGGCGTATTAGAACCGATCAGGCCAGGGGTGGTTGATTGATTGAAAAGGGGTCCAGGTATGGAGCATATGCCAGTCCCATTAGGAGTGTCTGGGCATTAAAAAAGCAAAACTATGCAAAACTATATTACTATATTGACAAGTGCTGGGGTGACTATACAGTCACCTGAAATCGCAAAAAGTCACCCGGCTGCCACATGCATGCTACAGTAGATAGCCACCACTAAAGCCGCCCAATATAGATGGTAGAATCTCTTCAGGCCTGAAGAGGTTGCACTCTCTATCTGTCTATCTATCTATCTATCTGTTACCCTTCCAAGGTTCGGGTGGTTTTGGGACACCCCCCTAACCATCCTTCACATCTTTACGAGGCTATTGAACTGGCCATGGTCACATCATCGTCACATCTCTCGGAAGGTCCTGGACTTCAGGAGTCAACCTTCAACACCACCCCTCCACCGAGCAGCTGTAGCCGTTCAAGGCCCTCCGGCAGCGCCCGTGTCCCTCGCGGCGTCCGGCGCCCGTGGGCGGCGAGAAGCGCCTCACAAAGGCGCTGACCGGTGGAGAGGAAGGAGCAACGGCATGCTGGTATATCCTGGTCTTGGTGGTTCCCTAGGGATCCAGTCGTACCTTCTCAAACAGGTACGACTGGACCCTCCCAACCTACATAACAATGTCTCCAATCACCTTCTGACAAGGTACTTGGATCCCTAGGGGTTGAGGCCTTAAGTGGAATTTGGTCAGAACCAAATTGGGGAGAAGCACATGAATAGCATTTTCTTGGAAGTGTCCTCACGTCTTTCCCACGCGAACTGTGGACCACTTTAGGTGATCTCCGAATTTTGGGGTTTGTGCCACAACTGCGTCTTGACAAAAGCAAGGGAGCAGTGGGAACGACCATGTCATAGCATCTTGGCATTCTTGGTGCCACTGGGGTTCCAACCTTCCTGGACACAAAACCAAACAACACACACCTCAAGATCCCTTAGCAATTGCCGTCCCGGCGCCAGAACGGCTACATCAGCACGTCCCCAGCGGCAGGAACCACGCGGCACGAACCGCGCCGGCACTACCACCGTGTCCGCGAACGGCACGCGGAAACGGACTGGCCATGTGGAACGGCATGGCGGCGAGGGTCTCATGCCATCGTCGAAGCGAACATGGTGGGACAACCACCGAGCTTTTTCTCTCTATAGAGTCTGGTCGAAGCTGAGCCCTCCCACTGGAAATGAAGAAATGAACAGGTCGTACCGGCTCAAGGTCGGAAGCTGTACAAGAATGAATCAATGGCAAAAGGCCTTTACAGTGGTTTCAAGAGTAAATGGCACAAGGGCCCACAAGTTTGGTGGTTTATATACACATCTTTGATCATCTTTGTGTTTGTGCCCACTGTGAAACCACTCTAATGGGATATGAATTGGCTGAAAACAGGACCTGGTGAGCCATGCATCTCTGTTTGCTTGGTGATAACACTTTTAGCACGCTGAGAATGTGCTGCGGGGTGCACCATTCTCGGACAGCTTCGAAAAGCAGCGCTTTGGTCATGTAATCAGCTGCCTGGCTGCTTGGGTAGGAAGAAAACACATGCAAAGACCACCCTTTCAAGGTGTTTGGCCTTCAATTTCTGCCACGGAGCTCCCGCTATGGCCCTACCCCCCAGCCAAAAGCACCAGATTCATTGAATGGCCGTTCAATGTTCTATCAGCTTTCTCAATTTGGCTTGAGAAAGCTCTTCAGTCCCTTGAGAAAGGGCCTGCACCTCCCTTGAGAAAGGACCAGCAACTTCCCTTGGTCTACACCATAGCTCTGGGTGCTTTGTTTCCTCCCATCTGCAAGGAGCATCTCGTGAGCCGCCCTGGTTCGATGAACGCTTGCTACATCTTGCTACCCCGTCTCTCGTTGCTCCGCTACAGAGAGGAGATCCGTCCAATGGGTGTCCAATTAGATACCCTACACTACTTATATAAGGCATTTCCATTGGTACATTAATAAGATTCTTAAGAGAATTGCTTTACAGTATATATTGGTTTATCCCCTGTCTTAAGACACACATTAAATTTCCAACAAAGACCCAGGTGCAAATGACACTTGTTTTCCATGTCAGGTTTGTTTTGGATAGCGCCCTGTGTGTGAGCAAACCTGGCCAACCCCAACATATTGCATGCATGTTTTTAAGATACAGATATATATATATATATATTATATATACACATTTATCATGGGGTGGTGCAATTGCTTTGTCTGTGCACACTGGCTCCTCGTCTTCGCACTTTTTCTGGTGCCATGATGCTTTGCAGCACTTCTCCTGGATAGGACCAGTTGCTGGACGAAATAGATGTTTGAGACACGGACCTTACAACAGGTGTTCCCTGGCAGATCCCCCTGGCAGGTGCCTGTTAGGGTCCCAAACCAGACTGAGCCAGACTGTAACACTGTTGGAGGGCTCTGGGGGGTAAGTAACCAAGTATGCGATAGCCATACTTGATTGAGGGACCCTTGCATCTGCAAGAATGATCGTGGAGAGTGAACACATCAAGATCATGTCCAAACCCACCCCCACACACACAAATTACAACTAATTAAGCTACAAGTGTTTCTTCTAGCATTTGCAAACGCTAAAGCCTATGGGTTGCGATGGTCTTCAAAGATTTTCGGAGTGTCAGTCACATCTCAACAGCACCTCAACATCCCGCCAGACCACTGGCATGCCGGGCCCGTCCTATGTACACAAAGAAACGGCCGGAGCGACAGGTTGTGTGCCATGTCAGAGGCGTCTGGACCTGGTCCAGTATCCAAAGTGTGGGCAAGTGACTAGGCTGCGCCTTGAAACGTTGCAACATTTGGCTCATCAGATTCAACATGATCTGTCTGTTTGCTCCTACATACTGCATTTGCATCAGGTTCAATATTGTACCTCAGATGATCGGGTGTTTTTCTCTCCGCTCTGCTGCGCGCATCTGCGCGAACCATGAGCGTCCCGTCTTGTGATGTCTTGTGGGTGGGCTCTCACATCTGCCTCTGTCATTCGACTTGGATTTGCTTCTGATCGGCATATGTATATATATATATACACCCATCCCATGGAGAATTTGGGGCTTGTAACACATGTCCCAGGTTCGGATTCTCGAAACCGGGGACATCCAACCCCATCACCACTCCAATCCGCCCGTTCAACAACATGCCTACCACCGCCCGCCCGACCGAGACTCAAACGGAGACAAAGGGAAACCTCTGTGGACCTGGTCGTGGCCCGGTCCTAAGCCACGACCCAAAGGGTCTCGCCTCATCTCCCCATCTCTCCGAAAGGGTCTCTCCTCCACCCACTCTGCCTGCGCCCGTGGGACCTTCCACTCCGCCCTTCTTCGAGGTCGCCCACGTCCGCCTGGCGCCCGGTGGAACGGACTTGGAGTCTCTGTGAGAGGATCATGACACGTGGTCATTGTATCTGTCACAACTAAAATGGTTTCAACTACTTCATACTGTATCACAACACTTTATCTGTTTCAACCACTAATGGTCATTGTATCTGTTTCAATCTCTGGACACAAGACTTTATACTACGACGAATCCCGAGCGGGGCAAATGTTCACCAATCCCTGGCGGTTCTCGTCTCATCGTGCTCTGAAATTCAGGGCATTGATCCAAATGTGGGTCACTGAGTCCGGGATGGTCACGTTTACCAAAGACTTGCAGTTCTCAAAGGCACGATATTCAATGCGGGTCACTGAATTTGGGATGGTCAACTGTGCCAAAGAGATACAGTTCTCAAAGGCAACCATGCC